CTTTGTCAATTGGATCGTCGCTATCCTGACCGAATTGTCCGTCAAGTGCTATAGGGATTGGGGCAATAATGTGCGTACCCACCCAATCTACGGGGATGTTAGGATACGCGCTCGGCTTCCCTTGGGCTTCTCCTGGCCGGCTGGCTTCGCCAGCGGCAATGGCGGTAGTCTGTGGAGCATTCTGAATGGGACTTATCGACTCCGTCGAGTTGGCACTTAACCTGGAAGAGAATGCACCTCTTCTGGGCCTCGGCGTGACGCCTTCTCGCCCGTGAGGGTCAGGGGTTTGCTCACGATCACCTATCGGAGCCCCTACTGTGGGCATGTCTACCGACATTTCGGTTATCCCATCAGTATTTCTCCCCCTGGTGACCCTATCGGCGATTGTCGAAAGAGGGATTCGGTCTTGAATAGGACCGATTGTTTCTGTTTCGTGTCCATCATGTTGTCCAACGCGCCAATCTGCGCGTTTCGAGATATTAGACACGATGTTAGTCTTATCATAGCTCTCTCCCGCAGCGACTGAATCGCGGGGCACGACTTGAATATCCCCTTTTGTATCTGATGGCCCCGCGTCGACTGAGTCGCGCGTTTCGGCTGATAACCAGTCTTTCCTCTGAGAATCGGGGTAAGATGACAAAGGAAATAATATCTCATGTTCACTTTGCTCAGGGAGAGCGGAGGCGAGATGAGACATTGATCAGACAGATACCCGTTAAGCTAAACCACTCGATCAGGAATAGGAAGGGAGGAGGAAGGCCGAGGACGGACGACGACGGATCGCCCGCGCCCCCCAGCGCGTTCCTCTTCTCTCCTGCCAGCCGGGTTCGGCTGGTTTGAGCAGTAACACAGCTGCAGAAACGCAGCGTCAGTACACGCGGACAGTTCGTTGCATGCAATCTAAGTTATCTTCTAATTGAGTATTAGGCGGAGAGGAGCATATTTACTCATCAAAGAAGACCGCAACAAAAGTAAGGGGAAAGAGAAAGCATCAAGCAAAGGCAAACCGCAAGCACACGACGTCGATTTCTTCAACCTGGCGGATCCCGACAAGGCGCAAAAAAAACAACAAACAAGTGGCAACAATGAAGATCCAGTAGGGAAACGGCCAACCCCTGGTAGAGGCCAGTGGCACAATGCGATAACAACTACGAGAATCGACCACAAGGGCACGAGCACGTGAAAAGGCCCCAGGGGCCAGCCCAAGGGCAAGGGCTAGGGCAAGAAACAAGAAAGGAGGCCGGCCAGAACCAAAAGGTGGAAAGTACAAACGCAAAGCGAAGACGGGATGTAAAGGCGCGAGCAAGGGCAGGTCCGCAAAGCATTCTGAAGCTTATGCAGGGGCATGGGCAGCATGGAATTGAGCAGTCTGTCGCAGCCAAATCTGCCTGCAAACCACGTGCATGTGTACAAATATGGCCGCTGAGCGGAGCATCCGAAACCAGGCATGTGTCATTGGCCCGTGCTGTTATTGCTGGGTGGTTCTCAGTGTACTCAGAATTTCTGAATAAGCGTCGGGGGAGGGCGTCACCCCCGCCAGCAACCTCACATCGACCCCCGTCGCGGGCAGCCACCGCGCGCAGAAGGCGCTCCGACCCCCGTCGCGGCGCGACGACGAGGCGAGGTTGACCCCGTCGGGGGGGGGTCCCCCCCACGCTTATCAAGAAACCCAGAGTAAACAGATCTGCAATAATGGTAGAATGCCGAACCTGTCAAGAACCTGTCAAAGTACAACGGTGCAATAGCAGATCTATGCAGTTCGATACGGTGGCAATCAGTTGGGTGATGGTCACCTATGGGGAAGTACAGCGTCTCCATTTTCATCCAGGGCGCAGGGGCAAGAGATTGAAGCATGATGCACCAACCTGTCCCGCAGCATCGCATCTGAGCTTCGGCGCCCAGTCAACGCTTGCCATGGAGCCACAAGATGGTGGGCTAATACAAGCGCTGCGTTGCACTTGGCGGCCCCGTGGCTGGCAAGAAGTTCTTTCGTGACGGCGCCCACCGACAAAGACCGATTTGCAAGAGCTGCTTACCGAGAAGTTGGACAGCTGCCACTACGAAGTCGACTAGGCCCCGAACATAAACAACATCATAACCGCGCACACTGAGCACTGCAATGCCGTGGCTCGTGCGCTTGAGGATGAGGATTTGTGGGCCGTTCTACGGCAAAGGATGCGCAAATGAACAGAAAACATCATGTCTAAGCTTTCGTATACTCGGAAAACAAATAAGCTCCATAGACATGCTACAGCACTTTAGATTCACTCTTTTACTTTACACGCTTTCTCTGGCCTCAGCAGCGTCTTCCGGAACATGTTCGCCGAGCAAGCTACGCAGTGGACCCACGTTGTCAAAACACAGAGTAGCGTCTAGCAAAGCTTACAAAAAGAAGGTACGGTGACGTTGCAAGGCTTCGTGGGCTTTGTGAAGCTGGACATAAAAGGCTGTTTGACGCGTCGCTTTCCTTCTATACCATCATTGTGTCCAGACCAAACACTTCCCAGGTGACACCTGGAGGGTGGCCCTGGGGTAGGGCATTGGTCAGAAACATTCTGGCGAACTTTCTGATTTGTATTTGTGCTTCGCGGCAATTCAATCGATACTGTCCGAGTACGAGTGCGGGGTGCTAGAATACATGAGGTACACATATGATATTCTCGAGGTCATCACGGGCATCGCCGGCTACATTTGATGTTTGGATCGTTTCCGAACGCTGTTGCGCAAAGATTCAGTCATCGAAGTGGACAGGAACAGTGCGAGGAGAGGTCAACATGCTGGACGTCATCTTCTTCAAGGGTCCACGCTTCATGGCAAGGGATTTTAGACGTGAAGCCCTTCCTGAAGCCGTCTGGCCAGAGGCTGCTTTTCAGCTCTCGCTATTTCCACACGCCGGCAGTCCAGTTTAGCTAGCCGCAAGCTGAGATACATCGTTTGGTATCTTGGGCTTCGAGCCCAACATCTTTCACACAGGCACGAGATCAAATGATTGCTTGGTTTCCAGTCACGGCATTGAAGATACAGTGATTCGGAAGGCATCCGAGGTCGGTATCGCAATTACCCCCTCTTCCGCTGATCGCAACACCTCCGCCACAAAATCGTTTTGCCTGAGGCTACCTTTCCACAGGCTGGTCTACAATTCTAGCCTGAGGAGTGTGATCCAAGACTTGATTTTACGATGGAGCCCCATTGTGGGAAATGCCTTAGGCACAGGTGGCTTCAACCTCAGATCTGCTTGGCAATCAGGCGGGCCCAATGTGATTGCGTATGCCTACAGAGGTTGGCAGTAGGGGTTGGTTGGTGGGTTTTGCGCTTGTGTTGATTTCATTCGTACTTGTGATCGTTTTAGCTCTGCAGCGCTCACAGCGCTCCAGGCTCACTATCGAAGCACAGTGCTGGCAGGCAGTACCTGCCAGGCGGAGCACACAACACATCAGAGCCAGGTTGAAAAGGCATCAGCAAACAGCAAGTGCTCTCTCCAGGGGCCGAGCGTCAGAGCACGGCTGCCCGGCTCGCGCCGACTGCGCGCGGTTCTGCCCTGGCTCTGTCGCAGAAAAGCAGAGACCTGTCAGGTCGAAGCCCTGTCAGGTCGATGACCAAGGACAGGAAGAGCCAACCCACAACCCATCGAAGGGCATGAATAGAAGTACGCACTGAATCAATGGAGAAGGAGAGGTCGTGTACCTCTCCCCTGCTACCCATCTGGGTCTCGACTGAGGCGGGGTCGCACAACGGGTTGAGCATCCAAAAGGGCCCAAGTGGCACGCGCTGGTGGTGATGATGCTGATGATGATGATGAAGAAGAAGATGATGAAGATGATGATGCTGATGCTAATGATGGTGTCATCACGGTGACAAGCATCGTGACGAAGTCTACAGAACCCAGGGGACCACCCTACGCGGCCGATCACATCACACAGCACAACACAGAAGAGCATCAAACTGCATTGCACGCGACGCGAACGGCCAAAACGCAAAGACAAAGACAGTTTTGCGTTCCTTACGGGGGTCGACGGTGCTTCAAGTTTTTGACGGGCGAAGAGCGGCACAAGATGGCTGCTCCGCCTTCGGGGGCGCCTGTCCCTGGGCGCCTGAAAAACTTACGCCCCGACCTGCCGTCCAGGGGCCACAGTCGCCCGAAGACTGGCGTCACCGATGGCGAATAGTGCACGTTATACCCGTGTTCCGTCCTCAAGAAGACAGAAGCGTGCATAAACATCAGCGTCCGGAGGTCCGCGCGGATTTCTTGGGTCGATGCTGTACCCCCTCTCTGGCGCGCGAAGTCCCGCGTCGCCAGCGGCGTCGAGCGCTGATATGAAAAATCCGCGCGGACCTCCTAACATTTCTGCGTACGCATGTCTGGGGGGCTCCGAATAATTCGCTCTCTGGTATCACAGCCACCCAGAAAAACGGAAGGACTTCCCTGGCCACAGCAAACCCTGGTCACGAAGAGGCTCCCGACTTCGACTTAAAGAACGGCCAGCTAACCAGAGCCCACTGAGCCCAGAGCGGCCCTTATTTCGGTGTCTTTTCTATATGGGTGCCAGAACCTCCACCTGCAACGTGCTTTAGCGGCGCCCACCAGGGGGTGGCACGAAGGGTACGGCCTCCGCAGAAGGGAGGGATGCTTCCAGGAAGTCCGATGGCTTCTTAGAAGTCTACCCTGCTTCTGGGAAGCCTCATTAGAAGCCTCCAGGCGTCTCTAAGGAGGCCCCTGTCTTCCCAGAACCTCCCGCCTTCTTAGAAGCCCACCCCCCTCGCACCACCCAATTGCAGGTGCCGCCAAATGAGTGGCGAAAAGAACTGGCCTTTTGTGAGATGGCATAGCGACCTTACGCCGCGGCTTACGCGGGCCACCAGCGCGGCAAGCCACATTGGAGATGGGGGCGCTGACGCGCGACCTTACGCACGCGGAACGCTTGCGCGTGAATGTCGGCGCAGCCGACCTAGTTTATCTGAGTCGATCTAATGCGATCGGCGCCCTCGATCAGGCCGCCTGCCTCGGCCGCGGCGCCGCCGCGCTTCTGCAGAAAGCCCGTCGCAGGGGCGGCAGCCGGCGCGGCCGTCGCCGCCGCCTGCGACGCGCGCCCGCCGCCGCCCTCCAGCACAACCGTAACTCTGGGTTTCGACCTGGCAACTCAACGCTGCCACTTCCTCCTCCACCTCCTCCTCCCTCATTCCTCATTCCTCCTCCTCCTCCTCTTCCTCCTCCTGCAACTCCTCCCTCCCCCCTCCTCCCTCATTCCTGATTCCTCCTCCTCGTCCTCCTCCTGATGCTGCTCCTCTTTCTCCTCATCCTCCTCTCCTTTTCTTTCTCCTCCTCCTCCTCCTCCGCCTCCTCCTCCCCCTCCTCCGCCTCCTCCTCCTCCCTCACTCCCTCCCTCCTCCCTCCCTCCTCCCTCCCTCCCTGGCTGCCTCCCTCCTCCCTCCTCCCCTCCTCCTCCTCCTCCTCCTCCTCCTCCTCCTCCTCCTCCCCATCCATCCTCCTCCTCCTCCTCCTGCTTCTCCCCGTCCTCCCCCTCCTCCTCCTCCTCGTCCTCCTCCTCCTCCTCCTCCTCCTCCTCGTCCTCCTCCTCCTGCTCCTCCCCGTCCTCCTCCTCCTCCTCCTCCTCCTCCTCCTCCTCCTCAAAACCCGCGGCCCTGGCACCAGACCCGTTTTCGGTCTGGTATCCGCTGGGGCCATGCGTGCTGGCTGAAGGTCCCAAGCCCGTCACGGGAGGGGTGTGTGCCCATCAAGGAAGCTCAACACCTGCGTGGAAGGTGACAGGCCACACGGGTACCGCATCCTTCTTCCCCCGCTTCCTCTTGCGAGAAGTCATCCCCTGGGCCCGTCAAGGCGAACGTTCTGACTAGAACTTCGAGGCTGATCCAGCCGTGGCCACGTGGAGCCTCCCAGACGTTCACAAAGGCCCCAACGACCAAAAAGTCAAAGTTCGAATGTCGAACCTCCCCCATCCTCCTCCTCCTTCTACTCATCCTCCTCCTCCTTCTCCTCCTACTCCTACCCCTCCTCCTCATCATCATCCTCCTCTTCCTCCTCTTCCTCCGCCACCGCCTTCGCCTCCTCCTCCTCTGCCTCCTTCTCCTCCGCCTCCTTCTCCTCCGCCTCCTCCTCCTTTTCTTCTTAGCAGTACTAGTGCTATTATTATGTAGATTAGTCTGATTGTATTGTTCACAACAATAGTATTCGTATTACGAACGACTGGACGTATTATAATTTGTAGCTGCAGTCGTGCTGTTTGTATTGATTAGACCACTAGCAATAATATTCATAGTAGAAATATGAAGCATATAATTTAGTATATCTGAAAATACTACGGCTATGTCTACTACTGTCACTATTCCTGTGTTGTGTATGTTTCGTTGCCGTCTTCGTTTTAATGTTGATACTTGTTCGTAATAGCGCGATTGGTCGAAATAGTATAGTTGTCCTTCGTACGAGTAATCGTGCTGCTCGCAGTCTGAATGTTAGTAAGCTTATTGCTGCTCGGTTTAATAATCGTGATACGATTCACATTACTACTATTTTAAGAAGTCTGACCCACCTTATCCATACTAGTACGATAACTACTATTGGTATCAGTGTCCACTTGGCTGATTGTATTATTCGCAGTTCGGTTGGTAATCGTATTACTAGTCGTGCACACATTAGCAAGCGTCGTATTGTCATAAGTATTCGTAATAGCATTCTGAGTATGGTGGTTATTCTACTGTCTTTTTATTAATACTGATACTGTTCATATGATATGTGTGCGCTTTCTGCTTACGTGCATGGTTCTGCTTCGTAATATCACGAATCGTATTTATAGTACTGGTGCTATTGTTTGTTCCTAGAACGAATTAGTGCTACCAGCGCCGATAAGCTCAATATCGTTATTACTGCTACTCTCACCAGTACCATTGCAGTCCACATGGTCATCGATATACGTAGCATGATGCCTTGATACTACGAATACGTTTACGAATTCTATTCTGTATAAAACTAAGAACATTTAAATTACTGAACGGGTTTACAGCATTCGTCTTGCTACCCTTCTCAATCATATCACCAGTTTGGTTGTTAGTGGTACTACGATTCGTCTTTTTCGTAGTGTCAGTCCTCCTTCTCCTCATCATCATCATCCTTTTCCTTCTCCTTCTGTCCCTCCTCGTCTTCCTCCCCGTCCTCCTCCTCCTCCTCGTCCTCCGTCCTCCGTCCTCCTCCTCGTTCTCGTCCTCCCCCGGAGGATGAGGTCCACGCGCGGCTGCAGATCCCGAGTGGTCACACGTTATGGGACATCGCCTCTTTCTATGATTCCATCGAGTTCGAGCCTCACGCCCAATGCGCCTTGGAAAAAGGATTTCCACCAGAAATTTTATTTCTGGAGCTTCAACTGTGCCTCGCATCACGCATGTTGGAGCAACTCAGTTGTTTTTGTTTAACCCTTCGAGGGTGACGTGCTCGGTGGTGTAGGGCTTGCGGAACGGCACGAGGGTCGCCAAGTGCATCACGGCGAATGT